TGGAATCATAAAAACCAGGTAGCGTGGATGTCTAGGTACCGCGTTGCCTTCGTTGAGCTGAAACTCAGGGAGCTTTACTTGCATTGTCTCTTGTCATGCACCTCTGGGAGAGTAGCACACGCCGTTGAATGAAGAAGACGTCGAAGAAACTGGCAAGCGCGCACCGCCTCTAACACAGAACAGAATGCAGGCCGAAAAGCAAGAATCGAGAACTCTAGAGGTCACTGCACTGTGCTCCCACTCCAATTCCGAGACGACGCATGACCCTGCCTGAGGTCAGAGGGGACAAGAAAGTTTGAGTCAAACTGGCAGATGTTGCGAACTCAAGTCGCGTACAGTATTTCGCAGCTCCGCTTCCGCTTTGTATCCGTGCTCGCATCAAGGCTACAAGTTCCCATGATACGGCCGGTAAGGTATCACGTACAGACCGGCGGCCGGCGAGAGACAACTGGTACATTCGCGTGTGCTTCGTGAGTCATGCACCGAGCGACAGGCCCGCTGGGGCATAAAATAACGTGGGGAAGCGGGGCCTAGAGCGTCATTGCCATCTATGAGGCCAGGGAGCCCGCAGGACCTGCCCGCGGCACGTATGGCGACAGAAGCTCGGGAGCGGCACGGCGCGTTCTTCTCCTGATAAACTGCCAAACATCCTCGATCAGGTTCGGCATGATTATACTGTAGCTCTTCGATTAGCGGTGCCCCGAATGACGTCAAAGAAAGCAAGTAAAAGTTGAGCTCGTTGCAGAAAATATCCTGCCGAAATCTGGCGAAGTCGAGGTGTGCGCTCGCCCCTTGCTGCGGGCTCCGCGGGGTTCTGCATTGATGGACACAGCCAGAGAGCGACTACAGCTGCAGCGACGGCTCTGATAGCACTCCCCAATTGCCCCAGAGGTCACTGACGAGGAATACGGTTATGGGGCGCGACACGGATGCGGTGCACGGTGCGGGCGGGGCGTCGTGCGGCGTGCGGTTGTATAGTGTCTGGCGCGCCTCGTCATGCTCGCGGCCTCTACCGGCTGCGAAGCGACGACTGGGTGCGGCGAGGCGCAGGATGAATTTAGGAATATCCGAGCCATCAAACACTGCTTGCAGTCGAGCACATACGCGTTGACCAAGAGAACTCGTCGCCGTTGATGATAGTAGTGCTGGCCGGGCCCGGCACTCTATATGCTGCTGTCTTGCATGGAGCTGGAGGAATTATTTGGTGATCCAATTGGACCTCATTGGCACTCTTCGACAACGGGGTGTTCGCCAAACAAGTCGAGGTGTCGTCCGGCTCAAGCTAGCACGAGCGCCGGGACACGGGCGCGAATCAAACACGGTCACGTGCCAGAACACGGTTCACACGACCCTGTTCAATATCGCTGGCGCCGAAACTGAACTCGAACCACCGACACCGACGTCGACCGCCGCGCTCTGGCTCTCGCCCCTTATCGCTCTCCCGAGCCCGCCGACATCGCCCAGTGCTCTTCAAGACCTCGACGACAA